TGGCGCATTTGATTGGCTTCCAGTGAGTTCCTTTGTTTATTAGCCAAGCAGAATGTCACGTTTGTTACTCTTTTCTGCACTAAATTACCTTTTTCCTGCATCGTGTTACCTAAAAACTGCTTTTCTCGTAGCCAATCACAATCGAGAAATGTTTTCATTTATATTATTAAAAGGGGAACGTCCTCACTGGCGGTTGACGTGCGTCCCTCAAAAACGCCTTTGCTTAAGCTCCCTACCGGGAGGGAGGTGGGGGAGGGTGGAGAGATTAGGCTTTAGTTCTCGGAATCGAGAACTTAGTTTCATTCACTTTTGGACTTGAGTAGCTGATTCCTCTACCTCATTACTTAGGACTCACTCTGTGACCTGTCCTAACATTGCGTCACCATAACGAACGGAACGTTTCCCCATACTTGCCGCATGGGTGTCCCAAGATTCGCCAAATTTGCTCTCGTCTTTCCAGGGCCGAGTTGCTTAAAAGGTGGACAACGCTATCCGCTGGATAAATAACTAACCAGTGGATAACGAAATTGGTTTCCCTAACATACGTTTCCGCTGGACAGTGATTTATTCGGTGGATCGTTGCTATCCAACGTTTGAACAACTGTATGGGGCCAGAGCATTAAGATGTTCTCTCCCTCGAGTGTATATTAGGCGCCTGGTGATGTTCTCCTCCATAATATTAATTCAATATATTTACTCTTGCAATCCTGAAACGCTAGTTCTGCGGTAAGATCCCTATCCGTTATTTCGGCAGGCTAAGCTGTGTACTTTTGAGCATCTATTATTTAAGGTGATTCCCTGGTTTTGCACTGCGCATCTCTTACTGCGCATAACAAGATGGCCGCCGTAAAAAAGAGCATGTGAAGTAACATTGACTGAAGAGAAACGCTTTTGGAATTTTTGCTTGTAGTCGTTTCTTGCCCAGGTGAGACTCAGTGTGTCGGGAATGGGCATAACGTAAGCAGTACGCGTGTTGCTGAGTTCGACTTCCTCACGGAGAACCTCGATAGTGGATGTTTAACTTGTGCTTACTCACTTTCATTTTCATTTAAACGCTTTCTTTATCACATTGTGTCCTAAATGTGATATCTTGATGTAAATTCGGTAAAAACGGATTTTTTAATACTGTCTTCCCCCTTTCACTTTTTGAAACTCGCTCCAGTCCTCTCTCAAAAATCGGAGAAAATGCATTTGGTGCGCACTTTCTGCAGCTCTACCGAAAAAACGAGTACGGTGACCCCCATTTTTTATTTCATGATTTTAATAAGGACAGTGCTTCCTTTCGATGGGAAAAAAATTGGGACAAATCTATGTTCAGGTTTTTGGCAATTTTACTAAATTGTACGGATTCAGCTATCATGGGTCGAATAGCGAGTGTCCAATTTAATTCTACTTTGGAACGTAAAGTAAAAACAAGGGCATTAAAACGTATTTTTCTGGTATGTAAGTGGATAAACAATACATTAAAGTCAAATGTTGTGCGATACCACATGCATCATCGAAAAAATCTCTCCTTTTTGTCTAGTTTTGGGCTGCGCACGGTTTTTGTCAAAGGGTCCAAAATAACCGTATTTGTCAGTATTGTGACGTCAAAACGAGCACGGTGACCCCTACTTTTTATTACTTTTTTATCATCTTTTTGACTTGTTACATCAGTGTACCAAGTTTCATCTACAATGTATGTTAGGTTCTTTTACTAAGGAATCACCTTAAAAGGGTCTGACCTCTTTACTGGCGTGATCTTTATTTTTGTATGTGACTGTTAAGGACCTTCTTCTTAAATCTTGCCCCTCTCTCTTTCGAACCGTTTTTTGTGCTGTGACCATGGTGTTGCTGGTATGAAGACTGTTGAGTTACACCCCCCTTTCCCGTACCAGTTTTCACCCCTTCTCCGTCTCCCTCGTACCCTTTCTAATTTCCTTCATTTCCACGGCCGGTACGGTACAGTTTTCCCGCTGCTTTCATCCACAGTCGACTCCCCACATTTCAAACCTTCAGGGAAGTCGAGAAAAGTTAATCAACTTCAAAAGTGAATCGAACTACGTCCGCATCCCGAAAACTAAAGCGCTCTCCCCGCCTCTAATCCCCCAACGTCTTCTCCGACCCTGTGTAAATCGTCTAACCAAATTAAGGAGTCGAAAGTGGATACGAGATAGGTTTTTCTTTTCTTCACCGGTGAATTTTCATAATTTCTCATTTTACTGCACTATTTGTCAATAAAATGAAAAATGAAAAGTTGTCTGTAAGGTTGTATCGTTTTTAAGTTTTTCTATTTATTGATAAAAATGAAAAAAATAGAAAATCACTCGCAACACTTGTCTTTTTTTTCATTTTTCTTATTAAAATAGAATTGTGGAAAATTGGGCGATCGATACATCATTTTTCTATTTTTTCATTTTTTGAACAAAATGGAAAAAATGAAAAAATGGTGCTATTTTTTGGGAAAAAACGGAAAAATGGAAAATTGAGTTAGGAATCGGAGATTATTTCATTTTCTCACTTTTCTAACGATAGCGAAAAAGTCAAAATAGCAAAATATCGTTTTAGCCGTTAACAGTATTTTATGTCTTTTTGAAAAAATGACCAATTTTTCTGACCATTTTCTTTTTTTCAATTTTTTTCTGTACTTGAAAATATGTAAATATGATAAGGATAAGTAATATTTCCTTTTTCCGTTTTTGTTGGAAAAATGAAAAATTAGATTGGTCGAAATGTGCACGGACCGTTTCGCCATGCCAAGTGTGGAGTCATCTATGTATGTTCAAATAGTTATCAAATAACTTTTCTTTTAAATGTTCTCGCGTTTTTATATTTGTTAAAATATATAATATAAAATTGCATCCGGGATGTATTAAATGTGACAAAGTGCGAAAAGTTTTGTTGATGCGTGTTCCTGAGTGTTAGGGTGACCATCAGATTAAGATGTGTTAATTTTACAAGCCTCCTTGGCGGTGTTTTTATGCCGCATCCGTTATCAGTCGTGCTACAAAGGGGGAACTGCAGTAGTCTTACGTGTGCTAAGACCGCAACCAGTTGAAGGCAAAAATCGAGCAGTGAACTGACTTGTGAGGCTGATGCTTGTTACGCATTTTTGTTTTAGGGAGGAGTGTCGACTAACGTGCCATTTAGGTAGAGCGAAATTTGCACGAGAGGCAAGGAAAAGTAGCGCAGATATGAAATGTGACAGAAACGTATGCTAGCAGCAATATTCGTTTGCTTGATGTGAAATGAAGTGTTTATCAAGTGTGATGCTAGGAGTCTGTAGACAGGTATGCATTTTTGGCATGTGTGAATCCATGAGCTGCTATGCCACACAATCTATCCAAATTTCTCATGATGCCAAGAGTGTTATGACGTGCCCGCTTGGAGCCAAAAACTGTGCTCAGGTCGGGTATGTACTTCTTCCTGGAAGGATTACAATGAAATATGATCCGCCCCATTGGAGTATTTACTTGTACCGAGGAAGCATACGGTGTAAAAATGACACTCAGATGTGAAGCAGATGAGTGCCACCAAGTTTTTTACGGAGGCAACTGCATCATGATCTGCTTTGAGAGAGTTAACCCTGACTCGTCTCCAGTCGTCTCTCTTGAGAAAGGAGAGAAGCGCGAGGGGTGATGGGAAGGAGCAAAGGGGAGAGACGACTGGCAGATCCTGTTTTCAAGATGGCGGACGAATTAATGGCGGACGGTGCTGAAATTTTAAATTTGGAAAATAGGCCGTTCCATCGGGCCTATTTGAGTCGCAAGTTACCTTGCCCTCATATTCTTTGTAGAGCCGAGCTCGGTCGAGCATTTTTCGAGGAAACGGGGCTAGTTCAGCATGTTAGAGTGAAGCACGCGGGAATGAAATGTGATGAAAAATTCAAGCGAGAAGCGTGGCGACTGTTTAGATTTAAGCACGGCGAGGAGACCAAAAATCACGTAGAATGGCTGTCCACTCGTCGCCTAACTGAGGTTTGTAGCTTGTATTGTTATTGTAATTTGTATGTTATATAGAGAGAAGTTGTTGTTTTGAGATAAAGTGCTGGACTGCAAAGATGGAATGGATATCAGTTCATCAAATTTTATTTCGTGCTAGGCAGTCAAGAAAAATAAAATTGCCATTCTTGTAAAATTTTGAGGTTTTAAGTCGTAACTTTGACTCTTAGTTAAGAGTTTTTGCTTTCATCACATTTGGTGATTTTTCTTCTTATTAAATAAAGCAAGCTCCCCCGCAATAATCATGAAAATACCGTATATCAGTTGAGACAGTATCCCTTCAAGCTTTACGATTTGTTTATGTTGCAATCTGAACAAATTACTTTTATATTTTTAATATCAGTTTGTTTCTTCAATATTAATACTCAGGTTTTGGTGTAATTCTCACGCATTTTGGACAACTCTGAGCTTATGGGCAAGGAAAACCTGCTGTAATTAAGAGTCAACAAGCCTGGTCTCTGTGCCCATTTCAATGCATGGCACTCAAAAAAGAATGTCCGTGAGAGACAGATAACAGTTATAATTACAGAGGCTATTTTTGTTAAAAGGGTAAGCAAGATGCTTGCATCATATCATATAATGAATATAAATAACATTACCATTTATGCTTTTGAATAATCAAAAGTTCACCTTTATGGAAATATTTTAGTAATATTTCTCTTGTATCTGAAATTTGTTCAGGACTTTTAACTTGAAGAAAGTTTTCACCATTTCAATAGGCTGATATTCATCATGTGATCCCAACAAAATCTGTCCTACTAGTCCTATGAGTCACCCACCAATCATTCCTGAAGTAGACATCATGGTAAATTGTACTTGACATAAACTGTTTTTTTAGGACCTTTCAGTGACCCCCCTTCAGGATTGGATAGTACCTGTTACTGTTGATGGAGAGCACATTGCACTTACAGGCGACAAGGCCATTGATATTTTAAGAGGTGTCTTTCACCTTCCTGATTTCAGAGGTTGCCAAAGGGAGGCAGTGGAGTCAATTTCAAATGGACAAATACTTTGCTTATTATGCCAACTGGGGGTGGTAAAACCATCTGCTATGCAGTGCCTGCGCTAATAAAGCCTAAAGTAACTGTGGTAATATTTCCCCTGCTTGCATTGTTGCTTGATCAAGTGGAAAGGATGCGATCACAAGGTTTAAATGTTTGTTTCTTTATGTCAGACATGGATGAAGCAGAAAGAGAAAATGCAATGCAAAAACTTCTAGCGACTCCTCCTGAGTACAACTTTCTTTTTGCAACACCAGAAACCGTGTTAACTCCAGCTCTTTTTGAGTTGTTACAAAAACTGTCCTCGGAAAGTTTAATTAATTTTTTTGTAATTGATGAAGCCCATTGCATTGACACCTGGGACTCCCATTTCCGCCCAAGCTATTCAGAGCTTTCGAAGCTGCAGACATTTGGGTGTCCCATTTTGGCCATGACAGGAACAGCGACACGACAAACTGAGCAGGTGATTTTGAATAGTTTGAGACTCTCTCTAGAAGAGACCAAGGTCATCAGAAAGCCTTCAAACCGCCCAAATCTTCTTTTCCATGTGGTGGCAAAGAAAGCAGATGGCAAAGAGGCAATTGTGTCACTTGTCAAAAAGGAATTCCCAGAATAGTGTGGCATTATCTGCTGTGTAGAAAGAAAAGACACCATTGATATTGCCTATCATTTGAAAACAGCAGGTGTAAATGCTGTATTTTTTCATGCTGGGATGGATGTTAAGTCAAAACAAGAAACTGTGGAATCATGGAAGTTGGGTGCTGTGCATGTCATTTGTGCAACTGTTGCATTTGGGATGGGCATTAACAAATCTGATGTAAGATTTGTCGTACACCACAGTATGCCCAAGGATTTGGAAAGTTACGTTCAAGAATCCTGTCGGGCGGGAAGAGATGGCAATGATGCGCACTGTTATATCTTCTTTAGGTTTGAAGATAAAACAAAACACTTGAGCAATATCTCATCGCTACCAGATGGGGATCGCAAATTGGTGTACTTGAACGGTCTGAATGATATGGTCAAGTACTGTATTATCCCAGTTTATAGAAGGCAACATATCGCATCTTATTTTGGTGATGGTGGGGCTGGAATAAACTGTGCCAAGTCATGTGACATTTGTTCAAGTGGTAATTTGGAACATTCCATAGACTTCAGTGATGATGCTATTCAAATTTTAAACTGTCTCGATTCTATGCAGCAGCTACAGCCACAAGTGACAACAAAGTTGTTGGTATTAACATTCAGTGGATCAAAGTCAAATGCTGTTATTTCAAAAGGCTTAGAGAATGTCAATGAGTATGGCAAGGGCAAAAACAAGTTTAGCGAGAAAGGATTACTGAAGTTCATACAGTGCTTGATCATTGAAAACATTGTGCATGAACAACTACCATCTGCAAATGAGAACAGCACAACACCATACTTAGTTAGAGGAATAAATGCTTCCAGACTTACAAACAGTGAGCTAACTTTCCTTTATTATGCAAAATAGTTACAACTTGATACAAAGTCATGTATCTTTCACATCAGGGCTAGGCCAGCTGAACCATTCAGGCCCTAACATAAAATTAAATTAATCTCTATACAATGCCCTAGTTGAGAGAATTAGTTGGTTGAATTTGTGTTTCTGTTCTGTTTCTGCTTGTACAATAAAAGATAATGACATCATGTTTGATGGTGGTAGACACCAGAAACAACATGTAAGAAATTCCTGTACTTGTAATAATAAATTGCAATAAGGAAATAATTTATTGAAGGCTCCAAGGAGGGTACTGACATGTATTCTGTCATGTAACCATGTACAATGTACCTGAGGGATGGTTCATTATTTTTGGGGATGACCGGGTAGGGTAATAATAATTATGCAGTTTGTCCTGTTTGTTTTTTCTTTTTTTTCGAAAAAAATGTCATATAATCATGTCAGAAATTCAAAGCCTATCTAGATGCATCATTAATTTTTCAAAGGCTGTTCATTTTGGCCAAAAAGAAAAAAAAAATTAAATGCCAAACAAAGCAAAACATGTCTATGGCCCAGTCACTTTTTACCGACCCAGTCATCATCATAAAAAATAAACTGTCCCTTAACCCTTTCACTTAAACCCTGGTGTAAAAATAATTATTGAACTTTACTATGGTGCTTTTTAGTGCAGTATTTTACAAAAATATATTATGTTTAATTTTTTTTGACTGTTGGAATATAAGGGTTATGGTCAGGTTCAATTAAATGTTTTTACTCTTCTTCTACTTCCCCGTGCAGCTCATGGTTGACTGGTAGAATGTGAAAAGTGTTAAATAATTTGCGGCCAAAGTTTTGAGCTACCTTGTCTTTTCCTTTCTCATACACATCGACCAGTGTGGTAGAAACCCTGCCAATTTCTTCACCCTTGTAGGAGAGCTTTGGTACGAAGTCCTGGTCCTCAGGAGGCTCAAAGAACTTTTGTTTCAAACAAAACCACATGCCCTTTAGTTGGTCTGGAAATGGGCTCTGCTCACTATGGCGGCTTGTCGAATGAACATTAAAAGCCTCCCGACCTCCATAAGCATTTCGTATTGCCCCAAGCGCATCCAAGTTCACTGTAAGCAACTTGAGGACTTCCACACTTGAATGTCCTAAACATATCAATAAAGAAAAAGTTGGGTTGAGGGTTTAAAGATATAATGCACACACAAAGATTACCATACCTATTTAAGGGTTTAAAATTTGCAGTTCAGTAACAAAGGGTGTTGGAGTAAAAAATGACCACTGTTACAGTTACCCTTATGCCAAATGTATGCTGCCAAGAACAACTTTTCAGAAAGAATTGGTACATGCAACTCTTATAGGTAACCCCCCCCTCCCCACCCTCGTTAAATTACTTAGGAATCAATATGGGGTAACATTTGTTTTTGTCAGTAGCAGCTTACCTGTTGCATAATTCTTCAGAGGTTGCACCAGGTATGCTTCCACCCATTCATCAAGGGCAATCTTATGTCTTTCTCTTCCTTTTATGCTGACAGAACAATTGCTACAAGTCTCTGCTGGATATTGACCATTTCAGCTACAAGAAAAATACCCAAAACAATTCTTGATTTCACTACAAATTATTATACAAATTATTATGGCTGTCCTCTGAGAACAAGCTGTAACTAAAATCCAAAAGGAGCAATAATAAATTATTGATTTCAGCAAAGCTTCAGTGGATAAACACAAAATGAAATAGAGCAAGAATATCACAAATACCACATTTCAATACATATTAAACAACCAAGTCATAATCATTCCCTGTAAGCATAGTAAAAAATATGACGGATAAAGATTGCTTCTCAGTCAATACTGTTTAGTTTTTATCTCTCAGTCTTGGTCTCAGCTCATTAGTCTCAGACACTAACCGTCAATTGGTACTGGCATAAACATGTTTATATAAAGTCTACATGTATTTAACATTTCACATACCTGGCAATGTTTTATAAGGGTTAGTGCAAGAGAAATGAGTCTTGGCTTTCAGATTGACATAAAAGGTGCTATAGATATTGTCAAGGAGGATTCAGAAATCAATTGGTGGTGCTGGTGATTTCCTTTCATCACATGCTCATGTAGCTGACAACAATTTCCACATATGACAGGCAAAATGTTTGTCTGTAACAATGCAGTGGGTGTTTTACACAGGGCACAACATTCATGTGCACTGTTAGAAACTGTATAATTATGACTTCTTATCATGAAGTTAGCAATAATCACAATTTGAGGTAAAGGATACATGCCATCTTCTTTCCTCCGCCTAGTTGATACCCCTGGAAATACACGTTTCAATGCTCGTGTAAGTAATGAAGCTGAGTCTTCATTAAGATCAAGATAGGCCAACACCGATTCTCGGGAGACTTCAAATCCTTCTTCCTGCACAAATCCAGCAGTTAAAGCAGCCTCCAGTTTGGACTTTCTCCTCACAACTTCCTTGCCAGATGGCTTACCACCTACATGTTTATCAGTATTTGGAGCAAGTTTAGAATACCTGGCCATTTATACTACATGTTCTGGAGAATATTTTAGTGGTTGTCCTGTGACATATTTCAAGTGCATGCGCAGTTTTGTTTTAGCGAGCACGAGGTTTTTGCTTTTCTGCCAGCTCATCACATTTTTGCAGCAAGCAAGATGAAATTAAATTGTTGATGTTTTGTTTATTTTCTCGTGGTTTTTATGGACTTTCGACCGACCAATTATCCTGGCGAACATCTGGTAGCAGAGCGAGGTTCTTTTTAAGTGGATTTGACGTAATTTACCAGGATTTGTAACCGAACACTGAACGAACACGAGATGGCCGAACGATTGAGAAAGGACAAAGCGAAGTACAAAGGCGCCTATACAAGAACCAAAACAAAATTGATGATGACTTTAGAGGGAGGAATGTATTCGAAAATGCAGGTGATGGAACGTTTGGATCTTCTTTCTGCCGCTTTTGAGGATGTAGTTCGTGCAGTCGAGAGTTTAGAAGCACATTATGAGACTGTTGGCGACTCATCGAGACTTACCGCCGTAGCGCTTGAACTAGAAGCTGTGGAGGAAGATTTCAACGAGATCGAACGGATTGTTAGAGGATGTTTGAATAGCAGCCCCAGTCAGAGCGGTGCCTTGAGCGTTTCCAGAACAACACCGACGGGACAGTCTCCCATTAAAGAACAATCCGAACGACTGGAACAAGAAATTAAAATGCGAGAACAAGAGATCACGAAAGTGTTACATGACCTGGAGAAAACGTTCGCCGAACGCAAGAAACAACTTGAGCAGCAATCGTTGTCTACAGAACAGCAACGAAAGGAACCATTTCAGGGAGGTGAGTCAGCTAGAGTTCAGGACAATGTAAATGCTAGTGTGAAGAGATCAGAAGAACAGGAACAAAATAGTGATCCGAGAATTCAGTTGACAACACCATTCCAGCAGTGTACTTCATCCGTCGCCGATTTAAACACATCAACCTCTGTTAACTTTAGTGGTGCAGCTGGTTTTTATCCCTCGAGTAGTTTTGTTCATTCATCGACTCCAATTGTTTCCCAGTCTTCAATGTCTTGTTTGCCTCCAGTGGGGGACCAACCCCTTCAGCAGCCGCCATTGAATTCCCGTGTGAACTCAACCCAGACCACACTTGTTGGGTCTTCTAAAATACGTCCTTCAGCGTTTTCTTCGAATCAGTTACATGCACCGGCAGCCCAAGGTTATACTCCTTTCCAGCCTTCGTCATGTGGTAGCCAAGTACAGTTTTCGACGCCTATTGCTGGTCAGCCATTTAGTTCTAGTTATGACCAGATCAGTATCGACTCCATGGCAGCTCTGAAACGAGTGAGTATTCCCAGATTTGCAGGCAACAAGAAAAATTATGAAGCTTGGAAAGCAGCCTTCTATTCATGCGTTGACCAGGCAAGAGCCTCACCACAATACAAATTGTTACGGTTGCATGAGTGCTTGCAAGGAGAAGCCCTTAAAGTTATTGAAAATCTGGGATACTCTGCGGCAGCCTATGAAGCAGCCAAGTCTCGACTCGAACGGAAGTATGGCGGAAAACGCAGGGCACTTACAGTACGACTTGAAGAACTGGATGCCTTTAAGTAGATAAGAGAGGGGAATGAAAAGGATCTTGAGCTTTTTGCTGAGCTACTGGATGCAGTAGTAGTGAACCTTACAGATGCTTATCAGGAAGCAGAGCTTGGAAGTGGCTCTCTTTACATCTCACTGCAACGCAAGTTTAACAAGAATCTTCTGGCCAAGTACAATCAGTGGATCTGTGACAATCATAGAACCGAGGGTGTAAAGACACTAAGGGAGTTTATTGATAGAGAATCTGAGTTTTTAACCACAGCTTCTGAGACAATAGCAGGTGTTGTAAGTGGATCCAAGAAGGAGAGAGCACTGTCTGCCAAAGAAGATTTTGACCCTAAGAAGAAACATTCAAGAAAGTGTAAAGTATGCAAGGAGTCCCATAGCCTGTGGACCTGTGAGAATTTTAAGAAGATGACAGTAAATGAAAGGTGGAATATTGCTAAAGAGCAGAAACTGTGTTTTAGATGTCTCAGTGACGGCCACAGAGGAGAAGCATGCCTCAGGAGTAGGGTCTGTGGGATTAACGGGTGTCCCTCTCATCACCATCGTTTGCTTCACGAGGACCCAAAGAAAGAAGAGAAAGCCGAAGCAGCAGATGGATCAAATGCAGTCGGAGCCAATGCCACCATTGAAGGAAAGTCAAGTGAGAGAACCCATACAGCTACTACTGGAAAAGGAACTGTACCCTCGTCAAAGTTTGTAGCCTTAAGAACTGTTCCTGTCCACGTGACCAATGGTAAACGAAGACTGAAGGTGAACACTCTACTTGATGATGCCAGCAGTAAGACGTACTTAAACAGTGACACTACGGCTGAACTGGGTCTCGAAGGCAGACCACACGAACTTACAGTTAATGTACTGAATGATAACCAGCAAATTTTGGACACCACAGTTGTAGAATTCATGATCAGCAGTTGTGAAGGAAAAGTGTCTAAACTAGCGTCTGCCTATACAGCTGAAAGAGTCACAGGAAACATGCAAGTGGTGGACTGGAGCAAATACAAGCACAAATGGAAGCACCTAAAGGGCATAAAATTCCCTCAAGTGGGACCCAGACCTATAGTAGACCTACTAATTGGTGTGGACCAAGCTGACTTGCTGTACTCATTGAGAGATGTGAGAGGAGAGCCTGGAGAACCCATAGCTAGACTTACTCCGCTTGGGTGGACTTGCATTGGTAATCCTGAGGTGCCGGTAGAAAGAACTCAGACAAGCTTCACCTTTTTTCTGAATGATTCACACGAGCTGAACAGTCTTGTTCGCCGCTACTGGGACGTAGAAGAACCTAAGGAAACTCTGATTGTCAATCCAGAAGAGAAGTTCGCAAGAGACACAGTTTCAAGGTCCTTAACATTCGCTGACGGTCACTACTCAGTTGGGATGCCGTGGAAAAAAGACAGACCTTTATTATCTGACAACTTCAGCATGGCTTTGCATCGTCTGCACTGCACTGAGAAGAAATTGAAGCGGTCCCCGGAACTTGGTGAAGCTTACAAAGCAGTGGTTCAGTCCTATCAAGACAAAGGATACATTCATAGAGTTTCTCGTGACGAAGTTAAGCCTGATCAAGTCTGGTACTTGCCCCATTTCCCTGTGTTGAGGCCAGATAAATCAACAACCAAGACCCGTATAGTCTTTGATGCCTCTGCAAAATTTAATGACTTGTCCTTAAATGACATTGTGCTTCAGGGACCTAAACTTCAGAGTGACTTATTTGCAGTGCTACTCCGTTTTCGCCGTGACCCTGTGGCTTTGATGTGCGATATCAAAGAAATGTATCTACAAATCAAGTTGAAACCTGAAGATCAGCCTTATCACCGTTTTTTGTGGCGGAACCTAGAGACAGACAGAGAGCCTGATGTGTTTGAGTTTGACCGTGTTGTATTTGGTGTGAATTCATCTCCTTTTCAAGCACAGTTCGTGGCGCAAGAACATGCCAGGAGACACCAGTCTGTATTTCCCTTAGCAGCTGAAACAGTGTTAAAGAGTACATACATGGATGATAGCATGGACTCAGTACCTGATGTGAAAACCGCAGTAGA